CGCCAAATGTATAGTCTGGGTATACTTCTATGGTATCATTCTTTATACATGCTAAACTTGTCTACTTACAGTATGTTGACATTAAAGACTAGCCTTTGTCATTACTTTTAGTATGTCTTCTTATGGTACATGATCTTTGTCATTGGCATTTCAGTAGTTTCACTTTTGATAGGGTATGTACTGTTACATTCTAGTTCTTAATTATTTACTTCTCTAAATATATTGTTTTTTGGATGAACCTTTATGGTGTCAATGATTCTTCTCTCCACTTTTTGCTTTTCTCCTTACATCATTGATGAGTCAGTATATAAGCGTACAACTAGGGATGGCAAATTTCCCATCCCCGCCAGGGCCCCGCCCAGCCCCGTTTATAGCGGGGATGTGGATCCTTTTAGCTAAACGGGGATGGGGATGGGGGCAAATTATGAATCCACGCCGGGCCTAGGGCCGGGGATGGGGTAAACCCGCCCCGCCCCGATTAAGTGTAAAGTTACTAATATACCTTTACATATAATAATTTATTACTAAATTAGATTTATTATATATATGAAAATAAGAAAAAATGTGTTTTTTTTTAATAAAAAAATTATGAGGCCAGGGCCGGGGGCGGGGACGGGGGGCGGGTATGGGGATTCTGGCAAAATTTTAAGCGGGGATGCGGAATGAAAAATGCATCGGAATCTATTGGAAGTTTTACTTTTGGCAGGCCTGGTAGGAATAGGTTCATAAATGCCATGATAGTTATGAGCGATTATCCAATTACTTTGGCATAGAAACTGAAATCACTATAACTTCCTAGATTGTCAGAAACCAAACCTTTGGTTAGAAATTAAATATAAATTTGCCGCGCTTGATCTATTGTTGTTCTACTTGTTTTTCCTTTTTCGTAGTATTCAGCTTTTGCCAATTTGCTGCTTCTCTTTGAGCTGTAACTGAATGTGCCTAATCATGCATGGCGAAGCATCCATAAATTCTATGACAAAAAAAATTTAAACATTTTGACTTTCAACTCAGATTGCATTATATGTTTCTTCAATGCAGGTGCTTGTGGCCAAAGCAATATCGAAGGCCGAAAAAGAATCCTCTCGGCTTTCAAAATCGAAGAACAGAAGCACAAGGGATCTTAGGAAGCGTGCTGCAAAATCCATCCCGGTCCATGGAAAAGCTATTCCTGCCAATGAAGATGCCGGCAATGAAGTTGATAATGCTGGCGATGAAGTTGATGATGCTGGTCCTGACTTTCTGGCCATTCTTTTTCTGGCTTTGGGAATACCGTTGCTGCAGGTGGTGGTGGTGGTGGTGGTGATGGTGATCTTGCTTGGTCTCATCGAGCTCATTTCTATGTTCATCTTTTAACTTGTGGCTCACTTTTTTTAGTTCACAATTGCTTTTGAGTTGAAGTTCTTGGGAGTATGTTTGTTGAGTTTGGTTGAGTGTGGTGTCCTTTGATCAGAGGCATGGACTTTAGATTTTAAAAAAGTTATTATTTTCTTTTTTAATGAGAATGCCAAAGCTAAGTTTATCAAATTTTTGCCCTCTACTAATATCATTGTTAGTGCAAAAAAAAAAAAAAAAAATCTAATGAAGCACATTTGACCTAATACTATACTGGATTGGACCTAAAATTTTGGCTTAGTTTCTTATCCAAGCTTTTAGGTTTAAAGAAAATTGGGCCTGCATGTATTCTTCCAAACTTTGTTGTTATAGAAACTAGCTTGCCACGGTATTGACAAGTAAGAACCGGATTTACCCATTTAAAGGGTAGGCCACCTAGGTTCAGAGAAGCTATTACATGATTAAGAATTTTTTTTTTATATTTTTTATTTATTTATTTATTATTATTTTTAATCGAAACAAAGATACAGAGAGGGCAGAAGCCCAAACAAAACAAATCACAAAACATTACCCCGGAAGAGGAGGAAGATCCTTCTCAATAGCACAGAGGAGCCATTCAGGCCAAATGTCCCACAACAAATCTAACGAGTGAGAGCGAAGGGAAGACTTGCATATGGCATGAGCCACGCTATTGCAAGAGCGAGGAGCCCAACACAGCGAGCAATCCACCAAAGAGCCCATTAGAAAATGAATATCTTCCATCACAGTCAAAAGAGAAGAAGACGAAGGGGAAAGGGTCATCACTGATAAATAATCACCTTCAATGTCCACATGTTGATACCCCCAGTCGCACAAAAGAGAGAGGCCCTCCCTAAGGATAATGGCTTCAGCCATTTCAGCAGAGCCAATGAAAGCCTTAAAAATAGAAGCAATTTCAATAGGGTAGCCAGAGGAATCACAGAGGATAAAGCCCCCTCCACCCTCACCGCAACCAGATGAAAATGAAACATCACAATTCATTTTCAGACGCCCCATAGCAGGAGGTAACCACCGAGAAGGAGCATGCGAGCGAGGAAACGACGGAGGAGATAGCAAAACCTGTTGAGAAATAACCTCGGCAAACTCTTGAAAAAAAGAAATGGCCTTTCGAACTACCTCTAAAACATCACACTGAATATGCTTAAAATGAAGGTCGTTCCTAGCCTTCCAAATATACTAACAGATAGAGCTCCCCAGACCACACAAATCATGAAAAAGGTGGCAACGTTTCCAGCGAGTCACAAGAGAATCCCAAATATGGGACCAAGACCTGTTTTCTGAATCTGGTAAATTAACTTGAAGATGAGAAGCTTTCCACACTAAGCGAGAAAATGGGCAAGTGAAAATAAGGTGTGTAACAAATTCGTGAGAAAGGCTACATGTGGGACAAGTTGAGTCAGCCACCACTTTACGATAATAAAGCTTAGAAAGGGTAGGGATCCGTTCATGACAACATAGCCAAAGGAAGAAAAGAAATTTACGTGGAGCTTTGATTTTCCAAATGGCATTCCACAGGGACAATTTCACTTGAGAGTGACTGGAAGAGGGGAGGTGAGAGCTGTTAACCTCGTGAAGAGACCGGGCTAACCTATAAGCCGACTTAACAGAAAAATGGCCATCCGATGAGGGGGACCAGAACCGACGATCTGGACTACCTGACATCCCAAGAGGAATCTGCAAAATAAGGTTCGCATCCCTTAAATTGAAGTGTTGACGGATCAAATCACTGTTCCAAGACCTAGTGTTACGATTAATGAGCTCTTCAACCTTGTGCAAAGATGGATGAACAAAAGGAGTAGAAATAAAAGGTTTAGAGGGATTCGGCAACCAATGATCATCCCGAATGCTTATAGCAGCACCGTCTCCCACCCGCCAAGCAATACCTCGTCTAATAAGATTCTTGGAAGCGGAAATACCTCTCCAGCACCAGGAAGCATTAGCCGGACATGAGGAATTGAGAAAAGATTGATTCTAGAAATATTTTTGTTTGAAAACCGTAAAAAATAGAGAGTGATCATTCAAACTATCACCCATTTCTATTCACCAACCAAACTTAGCCAAGAGGGCGAGATTGAAATCCTCCAAGTCTCGAAAACCCAACCCACCTTGAGATTTAGAACAGCATAAATCGGACCATTTAACCCAATTAATTGGAGTGCCTTTATTTTTACCGGACCACCAAAAAAGACAAAAAATGCTAGTAATCTCCTTAGCATTGTGAAAGGGAATTTTGAAACATTGGAGAGCATAGATAGGAATAGCCGCAAGCACTGATTTAAGCATTGTTTCCCGTCCCGCCCTTGAAAGAAAATGACCTTTCATAGATTTCACCTTGTTACCCAATCTCTCTTTCAAAAATTTGAAGGCTTCTACTTTAGAACGATGAATAAGAGATGGAAGGCCCAAATATTTATTTGCCCAGCTAGAAGGATGAATGCGCATAAGGCGACATAGAGAAAGACGCAGAGACGGGTCCGTATTCTTGCTGAAAAAAGCACCAGATTTGGAAAAATTAACACGCTGCCCTGAAGTAGAGGAGAACAAGTCAAGAATGTCCATGAGTGTGGAAACCTCAGCAGCTTCAGCCCTATAAAACAGGATAGCATCATCCGCAAAGAGCATATAGCTAACTGGAGGAACGGATTGGCCAATTTGAATGCCGTGAATAGCATGGTTGCTTTCAGCATGCTTTAACAATGAACTTAGGCCCTCTGCACAAAGAAGAAAAAGAAGTTGAGATAAAGGATCTCCTTGGCGGAGACCCTTAGATGGTTAAAAGTACCTGCCAGCTTTGCCATTAATAACAACAGAGAAAGAAACTGAGGACACACAGGACATAATAATAGAGCACCATTTGGGGTGAAAACCAAAACCGTGAAGCATACCTGCGAGGAAGCTCCACTCAATGCGATCATATGCTTTCTCCATATCCAACTTTTAAGCGAGAAAACCTCTCTGTCCACTGGATTCAGATTTTAGATAATGCAAAAATTCGTGGACCATCAAGATATTTTCATGAATAATTCGGTTGGGCACAAAGGCAGATTGGTGATCAGAAATGAGCCGATGCATGTAAGGGCGGAAGCGGTTGGCTAAAGCCTTAGAAATTTTTTTATAAATAACATTGCATAGGGTAATGGGTTGAAAGTGAGACATTTTAGTAGGATGTTTAACTTTGGAGATAAGCACGAGATTTGTATGATTAATATGCGAAGAATATGACCCGATTCCAGGAAAGCATTGAAACCATTAAGAGGATCAACTTTAAAATCGTCCCAATGGCGTTGAAAAAAGAAAGGGGTGAAGCCATCAGGGTCGGGAGCTCTGAATGGGCCCATGGAAAATAAGGCTAGCTTTAATTCTTCCTCTGCGCCTCGTTTAAGAAGCTCATTGTTCATCTCTTTCGAAATGATAGAGGGGACCAAATGCCAGAAATTCTCCTCTGTTTGGAAAAGGTGTTGAACGTATTGCTCAGCAATGCCGCGAACGACTTCTTTTGAGTCCTGCCAAATACCCTGATCATCCTCAATACCGGAAATCTCATTTTTCCGACGGCGAATAATAGTTTTGCGATGAAAAAAGGCCGTGTTCTTATCCCCAAGATTAAGCCAAGCCAGACGAGACTTCTACTTCCAGAAAATTTCCTCATTGTGCAATTCGTCAGCCAGTTCCTTTTCAAGCCAAAAGATTTCAGAACGATCAAAAAGATTATCAGAAGATTTAAGAGAGGCTAATTGTGTTTGAAGCTGTTGGATCCGTTGAGAGGAATTGTGATTACGACCCCTGTTCCAACACTTAAGGTTAGCTTTGCAAGCTTTAAGTTTCTCTTTTAATCTAAAAAGATTGGATCCCTGACAAGGGAAAGCCCAAGAATCCTTAATAACGGTAGAATATTCCGGGAATTTGAGCCAGCGAGCATCGAAAAAGAACTGACGCGAACTAGAATTAACTTGAACATTGAGATCTAACAAAAGGGCCGCATGGTTCGAACCCGAGACTGGGAGATGCAAGAGAGAATAATGAGGAAAAACACGCAACCAGTCTTGAGAGCAAAGACCTCTATCAATCTGGGTCCAGATAGTATTATGATACTCCCTCTGATTACACCAAGTGTACGGGAATCCTTTAAACCTTGTATCCAAAAGATTACAATTCAACAAAAATTGAAGAAAATCACGTAGAGTCCAGGCTTCAGTAAAAGTACCTCCTCGTTTCTCCTGAGGATGAAGCATAGCGTTTGAAATCCCCGAGCAACAACCACCGAGAACAAAGGCTGGGTTGAAGACGTTGAAGGTAGCGCCACTGAGATGCTCGAATGGAATCATCACGCGATGCATAGACTACTGAAAAAGCCCAAGACCTACCAGGGAAACCAGCATCTACCACACAAGAAACTTGGAAATCCGAATAATCAAAAACTTGAACATCCAGACCACTGTAATAGAAGAGAGCCAAACTGCCCGCCATCTGACGGGGGGAATGCAAAACACTTCAAAATTGCCCAAAAGTCTACGGATACTGTCAATCTTCTCGTTTTGATTTTTAGTTTCTAAAAAACAAAAAATTTGTGGGGAATGGAGGTGGATGAGCCTCCTCAACTGGGAAATTGTCAGGGGTTTCCCCACACCCTGGCAATTCCACACCATAACTTTCATGTAGACTTTGGGGACCAATTCTGGCTGGTCGCCTCTACCCAATCAAATGACCTGTCAACCGAAGAGGAACCCTTGCAATTCGAACCACCATCCTCCAAAAATTGGTGCTGTTTTTTTAGAGTAAAAGTGTCGGTATCCGAATCCGAAACCACTTCCAAAAATTTTCGTTTGGCCCCCTTAGTATCATTCTTGGAAATTGAAGAAGGAATGGTAGCTCTAGCTTTCGGCTTTTAGTAATTTTGAACTGAATATCCTTTGGAAATCGGGATCTGCCCAACTTTTTGCAAGGCAGGGGAGAGAGAAACAGGTACGGTGCCCACCATAGAAACATCCTGATCAACCTTCGGAGCAACCTCCCGTTCCTCAGCGGCTTAGGCCTCTACAGAGGGAGAAGCGACTGAAATGCAAAAGGTTGGACCAATGCCCTGGACCAATAGAGGACCTGAGTTCATAACTTGGCCTAACAAATCCCTCACGCTAATATGGGCCGTAAACGGTAGAGTGGCCCATTTAAGGAAGTAGAACGGTTTATGAGAGGGCCCCCCAAACAAGTATATCCGCAAAAGTAAGTGTGGAGCCATTAAATTAGAATTAGAAAAGGAAAGGTCAATACCATCACTAGCTGAAGTAAAACCAGCTGTTGGCATCTCAATGGATGAACTGACATTTGACATGACGGATGAGGCCTGGGTAGTAAGAGTAGGAACTGTGATCTGTTGAGAACATGCGTCATGGATGACATCACGAGAGATTGATGCCTATTCACCATGGGAAAGAGAGCCCTCAGTGTCGGAAAACCCAATATTTGGCCGGAGAGATGCAACAGGAGCAAATGAGGGGTCTGTGGATGACACCAGCAAACCGGATGGACCTGCAAACCGCAGAGTAGGACCAAAAGGAAGATTGGCGGTGGTCCGATTAATGGAAGAAAGCTCCCCTACCTTGCACTTCTTAAGTGTATGCCCCAGACAGCCACAAAAATAACAAAAGGAAGGCAACATCTCGTACTAAAACGGGAATCCACTTGGGAGTGCCATCGATGACCAACCTGATACCCCGGCGAAGAGAGCGAGAGACATCTACTGAAATCTTTAGACGAAGAAATCTGCCACCATTTTTGGGATTTTCTTGAACCTCGACAACCTTAGCCTTAGGGAAAGAAGCGACAATCCGATGGCCAACACAATAATTATACCCTTCCAATGGCAGATTAGACGGATACACCCACAAATCAACTGTACTGAAGAGATCATCAGAAACCACCAGATTAGGTTTCCAAGGGATCAAACTAAGGAGATGATTTTCAAAATGCCACGGTCCAGACGACAGAACCCTTTGTTGAGTGGAGCGCTCTTTGAAGATAAACTGGAAAAAATTATTAGAAATATGTAGAACTTTAAGCGTAGAGTTGCAAAGCTAGACCTTATCTAGGGTTTCGTGAAGCCCATCCACATTAACGCCAGACTCCTTGAACAATTTACCAATAAGACTTTGGTTGCACCATTTAATGCCTTCTCTGAGATCGTCAGAAGTGATATTAAGAGTGATGGATTCTTCTGCTGTGAGGGTAATACCCCCCATTTGTTGGAGTAATAACTCATCCATACCAAAGGAAAAGAAATCAAGACAAAAACGACAAGATGATGACAAGGCGATTAGGACCCCCTAGTCTGAAATCTCTAAATACAGAGAGAGTCAAAGAGAGGACTGTAGAAAACTCATACAGGATGAGAGAAAAACACCTCTACAACGATACACACATAAAAATTTGAATAAAACTGATACATTATTTACATGTCAAGTTAGATCATAAAAATATCTTGGCCAACTAGACCGCAAGAAAGTAAGGTTAAAGGAAAAAAATGAGAGAATTGAAATAGGATTGAGCTAATCAAATATGATAGAATTATGACTATTTTAGTGAGGCAGATAATTTCTTTTTAGGATTAATTTTACTAACACTCCCTTAGGTTTGACCAAATATCATATTGAAATAACTTTCAAAAATTACTATCACTCACAATACAAATATTTGGTCCGTTTTTCATTCACATTCTAAACGTTACTTTTTAATAGTGTCGGAGTCCTTTTCTCATGTAAAATGATATTATTATCCTTTTGACTCTCTGTTGACTTAAAAAAAAAAAAAAAAAAAAAAAAACACCGGGTTCAGATGACTTGAGTACTGGGGACGAAAAAAAGGGTAAAGACCAGTAGTAAGCCTCTATCAACCGTCCATTGGAGGCCATATCCATGATGATCACCGGATTGTTGACTGGTTCCTGTCATGTGTTCATTATGTTTGTTCTTCCTTTGGGGGTCGTTACCCTTCACTGAGTTAGTTGCTTTCGGGCTGGGCTGGTTCTTATTGGGCTGGCCATTGTATTATTCATAGCCTCCCTCAGGCTATTACTGTAATCCTTTTTCTTTCTTTCTTTATTTTATTTTATTTTTATAATTTACTGTAATCCTCTTTATTAATTAAATTTACCTTTACTTTTCAAAAAAAAAAAAAAAAAGAAGTTAAATTTGAATTTGAATTTTTTTTTTCAAATTAAATAAGTCAAAATAAATTCATAACTCTATTCATTAAGTAAGAAATTTTAACATCAATAATAATAATTAAAAAAAAAAACCATCTCCTTTTATTATCAAAATTTTATAAAACAAGAAGTTTCAATAAATTATCATATTATATTTGTTTAAAATGATCCCCTTAATAGAGTATACATTATATATAAAAATAAAACTTATAATGAGACTGACATTACAAAATAAAAGTTACTTCAAATAAAGGAAAAAAATAGAAGAATAACAATGTTAATAATTGATGCATAATGATAAAAGAAATTTTAGAAAAGAAACTTGACATGGAACAGTAAAATCTAGATGGATATTTCTGAAAAAAATGATGGTTAACATATTGTACAAATATCTTCGAAAAATACTTGAAAAAAAAATGGTAATTCAAGAAAAATATGGAGAAATTAAAGAGGTAGGAATGGGCTATATATAAATAGCTTGGTGAGTATATCTTGGGTCATTGGTGACCTTTTCCTTTCAACTGAGTATTTTTTGGTGATAATGTGGTACAATATTCTCAAACTAGGCCTTATTTTGAAGCCCAAACATAAATATCTAGCTAGTAGAACCGACCATAGTTTACAACTTATGCGTTAGCTTTAATTGTAGGTTTAGTTACGGAACCGGACTCGAATGCTTGGAGAATTATACTTGATATAGCATTGTGCTCTATTCCGTGCTTGGTAAGTGACTAATGGCATTTTGAGACATCTTTTTTGGGAGAGAGGTAGTATTTGATTAGGATTACTTACTCTTATTTTGAATTTGATGCAACATGGCTTCCATAAAACTGGTTCATGTAGGTAGAGAGAGAACTTATTTGGTTTGCTGGCACCACTCTACACAAGATTTAATAGCCCCAATTGTTCTAAGTGTTGACATTCATAATTAATAAAATGTCTATAAAAGGCTCATTACTCATGGCCTTCCATGGTTAACCAGCATGCTGAATGATATCATATGCATAACTAAAGGATCCACCATCCTCCCTTACCCAAGCTGGACTATTAAGCAGCCAAAACTAATTTATGAGCTATGATACACAGAAGCAAAGGTTTGAGGTTTCACCTTCAAAGTTTGTATTCACTCTGATTTCAGTTAGAAATTGAAACATGGGTACTTTTTTTTTGCTAAGTAAGATAATTATATTGATATGAAAAATCATTACCTACCAAAAAAAAAAAAATTATAGAAAGAAATTTTGAAGCATGAATATTAGAGTAGGAAATTCTCTTCACAAGATCCCTCCTCTTGTGTACCTTTTGCCTTTCGTAATAAGAATATATTAGTAATCCTAAAATATTTGAACAAATGAGCTATTGAGAAAATTCATTACATGAAAAAAATATCATCAAGTCCACAAAGAAACTACTGAAAAATTGTGTGTTGGTACCTTTAAGAATGGGCAGTTGAAAGTTGTAGCGACTATTTGAATATACCGTGTCTCTGCTGCTGCATGATCATCATTACTGTCCATGGATTTCAGAACTGAAAGCCCATTGACAACAAATATAACAAAATTGACCTTCCTGATCTCACTGTAGTAACCATTCTGGCGATCTTTGTACTTCACTATGGTCTTTACACTAGAACTATCTGAATCCCTGGTATAAAAAAAACCACGCGATAACTCAGATTCTAAAACCAGAAAGTAAAGCTGTGTGAAGTAATGATATAAACCTGACAGCCAGCTCTCCATGACGAACACCTTTTGTCATCCAACGCTTCAGCATTTCCATGTCTTCAGATGACACTTGAGACAGGCCTCGCGTGTCATTTAGACAGAAAGAAGTTGAACATCGTGGAATCATATATTCCTGTAGGAAAAAGGTCCCATCCCCAGTAGACAAATTATCTGGCACAAGTGAGATTATTGAATCAGGAAAATAAATAAGTAATTTACCAGCCCTCTATTTGAAAAAGAAGGGGGAAAATGGCATCCTTCACAATTCACGTCAGCTTAAGAAAAAATAAAATAACAGGTACTTGATACTTGGGCCCTTTCTGATGCAAACTTGTCAACTTCAAACACCCTTGATATTCTATTAACACGACTGCTTTTTCCAGATCCCTTGGGACCAATCAATAAAAGTGATGTGGTCTTTGGTACGTCAAAATCACTCAACTGCATGCCACAAACCCTCTCAATCCATGCTTCAGGGTTATAGCTGCAAAGAATACAAGACTGCTTGGTTCAGCTGTCCATCGAAAATGGTTTAAAAATTCAAT